CAGATACGTTATGGAACCTACAAATAGCTTAGTTGATAAGAGGTGGTTAGATTTGGCAAATAGTATTTTTATGATCATAGGTTTTACAAAAAATGAAAGTTAGAAAATTATGAGGATTAAAATTTATTACAACACAAACTCTGCATACTTTTTTCAGAAGGCTTGAAGCCTTTATTATATACTTTCATTTATATAGAACACATTATACACTGTATTCATAATATATTATTTATACTACTTATAACATTTATACTAATTATACTGATAATAATATTTATACTAATTATTTTAAGTATACCCTTGATCTCACTGATATCTATTATTTATCTAATATATAGGATATATAATATACTGTAAATACAGTGTATATTGCTGGTACACCCATTTAAGATATATAATCTACATAGCTGAGAGAGCATAACTTAGAGTCATATAATGAAGATCTCACATTACTCATAAATCACATGTTTCAGGTTTAACAATACCATTTCACACATATGTATATTTTTATATATAATAAGAATTTACCTTTTTTGTTGTTGGTATCTTTTGCTACATTACAAAAATATTTTTATAATTAAGTAACTCTTTTAAAAATAAATTACATGCATAGTAATACTAATATTTAGAACCATCTTACAAAAATTGGATCAGATAAAATCTTTAATTAATAATATGCATAATGCAATTACTGCTATTAAACCTTGAAAAAATTATGTAAAAATTTAATATTTTGATTGACCAATGGTAACAAACAAAAATTTATACAAAATTACTCAAATTTTTAGTAAAAAAATTGTAACTGCCCATTAAGTGAAACTAGAAATTAAAATTTTGTAATTTAATGAATTCTGCACAAAATTTTTGAAGAAACCACAATTTGCCCATCTCTAGGTACTATATATCCTGTGAAATTACATTTGTTACTCAATCATTACAGCTAAAACACTATGAAATATACACTATGAGATTTGCTCTACTGCTAAAGTTGTTGGTGCAAGGTAGATGATGTTACCAATAGTTATTCAAAATTGGGCATGCCAATTTAGGTGTGGTGCAAAGATGGCAAGCTAATCACAATAAAGTTTAGTTTTAATATATACATTTTCTCAAAATTTTTAATTTCTTAAGTGTTATAGCATTAAAAAAAAGTTTCAGCATTACTATAATTATATAAATCTTCTAATTAGTAATAATATATTGGATAATATATATAAATTAACATAATGACATTGGATTAAATAACAAATTGCTGAGTAGTTTATTTATCTAATTAATTGGCCAAGCTATATTTTTTAAATAATCTTAAAAGACTAATAAAAAGACTTAACTATTCTAAGCTTATAACACATCTTAGGTTTTATAGACAATTTTGCATTGCTATCATTATGATCTTTGATCAATAAGCCATGTATATTATTTAAGCCTTCTAAAAGCATAATTCAGAAAATTTTACTTTTACTTTGTGACAATAACTTACAATTAAAATACAAATAAATACTTAAATGTGCATTATTGTATATATATACATAATTGTACATATGCATAGCATGATATGTATTTCAGTTGCCCATCTCTAGTTTTACTCTGTTATATCAAACTTTAATGAATTATTAGTTCTTAATTATCTAGAACTAGTAATTCATTAATATTTAATATAACAGAGTAAAACTCACACAGTATCTAATTTAATTGACAATAATGTAGTTATGCAAATTTCATATTTTTGTACATATTTAATTATCTATCCTTTTATAACAATATTATATTAATCTAGAAGATGCATGTGTTAAATTTTTTGTTAGTATGTATCAAGATATTAAGAGGTATATATAATTATTACTGCATTAATATATTAATATTTAAACTGTTTTTTGATTTACTAACTTGTCAAACAAACTGATTTGTAGTCTAATTTAAAAAGTTTTATCATTTTAAACTAATTATTTTTGGTATAACTTTAATAACTAGACTTTAGTTAGTTTCAATTATTTTATTATTTGATTATAGTATTACTAATAGTTTTTAGTATTAGTAATATTTGTATTTTATATATAAATACAAAATTCTTAATCTTATCTGTCATTTTTTAATCATTAAAAATTATATAAAACCATTTAATTTGTTATTAAATTGATATTTTTTAAATATAAACAATTAAGAAAAATTAATTTTTAAAATAACCTGACATTATGAATTCTAATGATAATTTTATAACTTTATAGTTGATACTTTTGATGAAGTTGTAGATTCTGATAATAATACAATTTTGTCAAGTACTATGAGTATACAAAATAATTTAGAAATTAATAAATTTATAATTCCATCTAAAAATTTTAGTGTTTACTGGATAAGTTTTTTATGTTCAAAGCAAGTTAAAAATACCAAATCATACCAATATAATGCAAAGTGTTTATATTATAATAAGATATTTAAAATATGAAAAGAAATAATAATACATCATATAATAAATATCTGTTAAAAAATATTAGTCAAAGTTAAATACTTTATATGCAGAATATTAATAAAAAAAATTCCGCAATCATAAATAAATCCTACTCAAATGAAGATTTTGATATATTTTCAAAAAAATACAAAGCTGTTTTAACAGACTTTTTTAATAAGACTATGATTTCATCAGATAAAATTAATAAGCTTTATATATTATTATTATGATTATTAATTTATAATAATGTTGTATTTCAATTTGTTGAAAATCCTTTTTTTACTTTATTTTTAAACAAATTATATTTAAGTTACAATTTAACATCAAGATATACATTAATATATTGAATAATTCAAGTAGAATATGCAAAAGTATTATCTAAAATGATTGATCATCTTGAAGAAGTTAATGATTTGATTCTTTCTCTTGAAGAATAGAATAATATATTCGAAAATTTTATATATGTATTTCTTTTAAACAAATTTGGAAATATTAATGAAGTTATCAATATTGAAGACTTTCTATTATCCAACATACAACAAATAATTTGTTAATAGCTATTGAAAGTTTATTGAAAAATAAGAATTTAAATTTTAACAAATTCATTGCATTAGTTACAGATAGTTCTTCAGTTATAATATAATTTTGAAAAAATATTTTAGAAAAATATTAGCATATAGTTGGTATTTAATGATGTTTGCATGTTTTTAATCTTATTATAAAAGAAATTTTATCATATTAGCTATATAAAAATTTAATTAAAAAAAATTTAATGTTAGTAAATTTTTTTAAAGGTTCAACTTATTGGAATACAAAATTAAAACAATGGATTACAGATAATATTATTATATATAGTTTACAAATATTCTATAAAACTTAATAGTTTTCTTTTTCAAAAGCTTGTCTTTTAGTTCAAAATTATAAAGAAGGTTTTAAAGCTTGTTTTGAATATAATAACAAATTTTCTAATAAATGTTATGTTATCCCAGTTAATATTAAAGAAATTGTTACAAGCTGATATTATTTTTTAGAAAATAAACAATTAATAACAGTTCTTAGATATATAGTAGATACAGTTAGAAATCTTGAATCATATAATACAACAGTTGGAGATATTTTTGCAGAATTATTTAAAATTTATAAAAAGTTAAAAATAAGTAAATATAATAATATTGAATAAGAATTTATTGAATATACAAAAAATATTATAAATTTTAGAGCAAAGGAGTTTGATGAACCAATATATTATTTAGATTTTTTTTTATAATTAAAATTTTGCAAAATAACTATATCTAAAAAGTTATCTTATAATGATATATTAATCTATGCTTTAACATTCACTCAAAAATAGAATTTTACAAAAGAATAAGTAAAATAAATTTCAAATTAATTAAGTGCTTATCTTAATAACAAACTACTATATAATTCAACTTTAATATTAGAATCATGATCATATTAGAAAAGTTTTTCATATAGAGCTGAAGCATTAAAAGAATTAATACTAAAAGTATTTGTGATTTATTCTTATATTGTTAAAGTTGAACAACTTTTTTTATATATAGATTTAACAAAAACTAAATTTAGAAACTGATTAACTGTTTCAATATTGAAAATGATTTTATAGATAAAATTTGCTTTAACAATAGAAATTTCTAATAAAACTAAAAATAATCTAGTATTAAATAATATTAATAAAAATACAAATTTTACAGAATTAGAAGATTATGATACATTATATTCCTTAATTTCAAATATTGATAATGATATTAAAATAGAAAATAATGAGTTTTAAGAAATTTATACTGAATTTAAAAATTCATCAGATTTATTTTTAGAACAACTTATTGATTTTGACATTAAAGAGTTAACACTAGAGTTGAATGAAAAAGAAAATATAATTAGAATTAAAATTACAAATCAATAGACTTTAGATGAAATTTTAAGCAAAAATAATATTTAAAAATTTATATATATTAAGTATATATATTTTTTATTATATATGAATTATTTATTAAATTTATGCAATAGTGTATATTGTCAAGCTGCAAAATTAGAATACTAAACCAATGAGTAGTTAATGTGTTACTAAATCAAAAAAAAAACTATACTTTCATACTTATCTTTAGATTGAAAAAATTTTAAAACAATTGTAATTCATATAATGGAATCAAAATAATTATGTAACACAAGTAATTAAAACAATAGTTCTACACAAAATATCTTTAAATTAATCTAAAACTAATTATGGTTTATGATATAATGATATGACATTAATAAGTATTTATAAGCAAATAAAAATAATAAGTACTTTTTTTTAATTAATCAAATAAAATAAATGCACATACCGTTATCTAGTATAAGATAGAGCTAACTTTTACTACTAGGTAACAATAATATAGTAAAAGATAACCTCTTTTAATAAATAAAACTTATATTTAAAGTTAAAATTCATTAAAAATTATATAAATGATGCACCATATGGCATGCCATATGCCAAAAAAATATGAATGGCATGCTATTGGTATGCCATTAAGAAATTTTTGTGCCAAAAACCCTACCCGCTGCTCACATGGTTACCAGCTAACTCCGTAGTATCATACCCTCTTTTCTTTTCATTTTCTCTCTTTTAAGTCACTAATTCAATACATTCGTTTACTCTACTTCCTCCAGTTGCCCAACCGATCTTATTTTGATATCCGAGTTGTTCATCCAGGCTATCCCCTTGACCTATTACCTTCACAATCCCTTTTTCCCAAATCCTGTGGTGAATGGTTGGGCCCTATCAACAAAACTAAACTTGCATCAAGCTAGCAGCAAAGACAAAAGAGGAAAAACTATTTTCCATTCATACTTTATTTATATAGCCATTTTTAATGATCTCATACTTACCACACTCTATTCAATTAAACTAACTACTCAATTCTTTTACTTATGATGACCTCATCACTCAATCAATCACTCGATTATACTCTTTCATTAACAATTACTTACCCAATAATAATGTCATGGATGATTGATGTGATCTTGTGACAAATGACTTCGTTCACGGCATTTCATGAAATCCATGTTACTAAACTTATGTGAAATTACATGTTTTGTAAATTTGTAAAATGTAATTTTCAACCCTAAGTGAATTATGTTGCTGGATTAATTTTACCATTACACAAACCCAAACCTTAAACAATTAAAAAATTAAACTCCGGACAAAATTATGTATAATGCGGCCAAAATTTTGTCGATCACAGCCGTTGCCAATCAAAATTGAGGTTCAACCGCGCGGCACCTAGATTTAATGAATCCCGTGCGTCATGCGCAGGATTTTTTGAAAAACCGCGATTTTCCCATTTCTAATAATAACGATAACTTCTCAAGTCGTGAAAATAATACAATCGCACTTTTTAATTCACTCGATATTACGACTTCATCAAACATTTAGACGAAAGAATTTAGCATTAATGATATGATAAAAGAAGCGGATGAATGTCTTGGACTTTTAAATCAATAGATCTTAATGTTAAGGTCTTAAAAAAATTCACCACAATGAAGAAGATCAAGAAAGTCTTCATCTTGAGATTGATTAATCAAGGCAACTCACAAAGAGCTTTGATTAGGAGGTAAAGCATTAGCAGGTGCACTTTCAAGAACTCCACGTTCAATAATCAATGCAAAAAGTCTGATTGCGCATACAAATTAAACAAAGTCTCCAGTCCCAATAAACGAAAAATTTATTTCAATAACGATAATACATTTAAGTTGCGTCGTGAAATTGGACTTAAAACGGAAAAAGACGAAGTAGAATCATTTGAATGGTAATATAATCTTACAAGGTGTTATGAATATGGAATTGGACTTCAACGGCAACATCATATCCAACAAACAAAAATAATCAACCAGATCAAAATCGAAAAAAAAGACTAAGCATAAATAAGCAATTACCCAGTTGCACAATATAAACAAAAAGTCTACAAAAAAGTATGGATACAACGATGCCAAACCATACCACGCAACAGCTCAGCAATGGCTCCCATAAATACAGCAACCACTACTACTACTACAATTGCAACAATAAACAATACTAACCAGATAGGCAGCAACCGAACCCAAGCCGAAATGATACAAATCAAACTAAAAAAATAGGCAGACCTCTTTGTTCAATATAATAAAACGCCTGACAACATAAGTGCAATCAATGACTAGGTGAAGCTTTGACCCCTCTTGGCAAAGTTTGGATCATAGGTAAAATAGCTTAAGTCTTAGTTTTCATAGATAGTTTATATAATATGTCTGTAAATTGATATTCTTAAGTAACGATAAATCAATAAGAAAACATGAAGCAAGGCCTCGCTTTTTTTTTTAAAAAAAAAAAGGAATTGGGATGACAAAAGACGAAAAAAAGCGTTTGAATGGTACACAAAGTCTGCCAAATGTGGGCATACATATGGACAAAATAAACTTATCTTGCTTTGTCAAAATGGGGTTGGAACAGTTGAAGATGAAAATAAAGCATTTAAGTGCTTTTCAAAATCTGAAAGGGTAAAATATATATATGCTACATAATCTTGGAATGTGCTATGTGAACGGCATTGGGACAGCACATGATAAAAAGAAATCGGTTGAGTGTTTCTTAAAATCTGCAGAAAGATGAAATGCCGGTGGACAGTATTAGGTGGTGCTATCAAAATGGATTTAAAGTAAGACGAAACAAAAGCACTTAGGTAGTACTTAAAATCCGCAGAAGGAGGAGATACGGATGGACAAAATATTATCGGTTGGTATTATCAACATGGAAAAGGAATAATTAAAGATGAAAGACTAGCATTCGAATGGTATTCAAAATCTGCAGAAGGAGGAAACATGATTGGCCAATATAATCTCGGAAAATGCTTTGAAAATGGTATCGGAACAACTATTGATGAAATAAGAGCGTTTGAATGGTGCTTAAAATCCGCAGAAGGTGGGAACTCTGAAAGCCAAAATCATCTTGGATGGTGTTATGAAACTGGATTCGGAACGACAAAAGATGAAACAAAAGCGTTTGAATGGTACTTAAAATCTGCTGAAGGTGGAAATGCTAAAGGGTAAAATAATCTTGGGTGGTGCTATAGGAATGGATTCGGAACAATGTGAAAATATGACTGATCAATATACCCATGGAAAGTGCTGTTAATAAAACAGCCGTAAACAAAGTAGACGAAAATGCAGAATTAGGTAAGATGCAATTGTGTGGGAAATAAAGATTTACAACAACAAATTTTCAAATATTTGTATATATAAGTAATAATGAAAAGTATTATATGCACCGCCGCGCAGGATCACGTACGTGTAAATTCATACTATTCGAATAATAGTTATAAAAAATCAAATACTCACTAAATACTCACTAAATAAATTAAATCAAATAAAATCAAGAAATATAATGTAATAATGTTATAGTAAATGCTATAAACTTGAAAGTTATCTTTTAATGAGGAATTTTGATGTTAAAAACACATCGGCATATAAAAACCAACCAGTTTTAGGAATTTAAATACTTTGGTCATGAAAATATCTTTAGCCGGAGTTTCTATGATACCACTTACTAAATAGCTTTAGCCATTTTTCATTTGTTAAGCATGATTTCTGTGAACTGCCAGGTAATATAGCTATTTTATTCCTCGGACAACCCATCTACGTAACTTGTTTTCATGTAGCGTTACTGCTTGTAAAAGAAAAAATTCTTTTGAAGCAAAGTTATTTTTCCTATTAACCTCACACGAAAAAAGAACAATGCTCGCATTTATCCTAAACATAAACATAAAAAAAGGTTTATTTGTAAAGAATTAGTTCTCCTCTTTCGTTTGGCATGAGGATGTGACGAATCATCTGTGTGCCGAATAAGCATTAACTAAATAATTATATTAAATAATGCTTATTAGCTACATCACATCTTCATGCCAAATGGATAATAACTTATAAAAATTAATTTTACAACCTACGTTAACCGTACTACCAAAATTTTGCTCAATTTTCGTGCGTCCGTACAATCGTACCGTACAACTTTACTAACTGAGTGTATGTAATAATCCTTCCACATTTCATGTTACACTTGAAACGTGATCGCATGATTACAGCAAATTGTTGACAATTAGCTGATGCTTTTTTGCTAAAAAGTTAAATCAGCTTAAAAATAAAAGCATTTTTCCATATAATAAATTATTATTAAAATGATTCAACTAATATTCGCATATACATGTCTTTTTGTCAAAACATTTAACAATCTTATTTCACTCATTATCTATCATAAGTATGCATTTTTTCGTACTTGTAATTTTTATTGGATTTTTTTTATTATACCGTCATTTTGAATTCATTCCTACCAATTGTAGGTACTTATCATAAACAACTTTAGAACAATTTTTCAGATTACTTAAGCATTCGACAATTTGATATTTAATTTGATATCGTATAATCAATAATTAATATAATAAGCATAAAAATATTATATTGATTACTACTAAATATGGTAAAGTCGCATTTTAAATTAAACCTAGTAATTTAACTTAATTTTAGGAGAATGCATATTTGTGTGTACAGTATTTATATCGGAGTGTGTCCGAATTTGGTTAGTAAAGGTATATTATATTATCATATGAGTATGAATAGACAAAGTAATTTGGTACTGTAATTAAAATAATTGCTTACCATTATGACTTATTCCTTACTTGTTTGAATATGATAACGATCAAAAGTTAGTGATTACTGTAAAACAGTGATGAGTAAATTGGATTTTTTTCAAATTTTCATGTTACATTGTAAATTGAATTATGCTGGCTTACCGTATTATAATTGTCTGATGACTCTATATCCAGGTAATATATAAAAGTAATAGCTTATGCATATAAATTATTATGATCTTTACGTTGAATCCATACTGTTTCGGCACCATTCAGCACTTTTTGAATTTGTTTATATTCAAAAATTATGACATATTTTTCTTATGATCGTATGGTGACAAATTTTTCACCAGAGTTGATGTCACTCAATTATTATTGTTATTACAGGTATTAGGGACTTTATTAGGTAAAATCCCAAATAATTTCGGAAATTTGGGATTCGCATTTGACGAAACTATCTAGTTTGGATGACATCATCGTATACGTATATCACTTCGTTCATACATTCTTTACTAAAAACAGTAATATTTATTGTAAAAAAAAGAATATATGTCAATTTTCCCATCTTTACATGTGAACTTTGAAATCCATATTTTTAATTACTAGAGTAAAACTCCGACAATACAACACTAAACATCCACTGTACTTCTTAGTATGAAGTTCCTTATAGTTAGCTAGAATAAGGAATCAATTATATAAACCTTCAAGAACCTTCGTACATCATGTTCGGCGTAATTTATTGTTCAAAAATTTCAATGTACATAAAATGGATATAAATGAGGTTGAATTTCCCAAAAAACTTTCGGATAACTATCTTGAACTTCTTGATGACAGAGAAAGTTTTGATGTAATTATTAATGTAGGGGATTCTTCAAATACAAGAAAATTTTATGTACATTCAAATATTTTGAGATGTAGATCTTTGTATTTTCGTAATAAATTAGCCGAAGTTCGTGGAGATGACAATAACATTAAAACAATTGATTTAAAACATGTTTCTACTCAAGAATTTGAAATTATTCTTAAGTAAGTTAAACGTATTAATATTTTATTTTCTATTATATAAACTTATATTAAATCATTAATTTAAATTTTTACCATTATTAATCCAATAAAGATATATTTACGGTGGAGTATTTCAGTTGAAAAATCAAAAAAATCAGGACACACAGTCTATTTTTAAGCTTATGCTAATTTCTTATGAATTTTTTCTTGATGAATTGGCCAAATACCTCGAAACTTATTTGATCAATGAGAAGTTTAGCTGGCTTAATTTACATTTCTCTAATATTTATAAAAATTGTTTACGAAATGACAAACTTCAGGATTTACAAATATGGTGCAATAATATTATAGTAAAGCAACCAACCAAGATCTTTGACTCGGAAGAATTTACATT